TGTACTTTCAACTGTCGCAATTTTTAACTGATAATCACGACTTATCTTTTAGTCCTTTTAAGAAAAAAATACTATTGTTTTATTTTTATTTTGAGTAACGAGCAATTTTACAGTTAGTCAATTTATTGGACTATGAGTTAAGCTTATTTAAAGAATAATTAAGAATCTTAATAAATGAAAGAGATTATAAATTGTAGATTCCCCATAATTTTATATTTGTTCATCTAGCTTTAACTCTCTGATTAGGCTCCATAGCTTTGTCAGTAGCTCCTTCACATATCTATTCGAGTTAATAAAATAAGCAAACGGTAATCAGGAAAAGGAATTGCTTGGTTAACAGAAGGCAAAGTCTGTTCGAGGTTCACGTTCGGTCGCGTGGTGGGTGACAGATTTCTCCTGGAAGCGGTGGGGTACCCAGCCAAACTTCAAGGGTCTATCCGTCGTTGCATGACCAACACACAACGTCTTCTACTGGCGGTGGGCTACCCAGCCAAACCAGCAGCTTCAGTTACTGTGCCTTACAGCGTTTATCAAGCTTGGACGGTGGGATGCCCAGCCAAACCGTCCCTACAACACAGCTGCCGTACGAACCTGCAACCCAGATAAACCTTCGCTGACTACGCTGTGGTCCTACTGTTTTGCCAGAGTTCAAATGCGGCCAGACTTATACCATAGCAGGACAAATGAACATCGGAAAATACAATTTGCTTACTTATTCCGGATGATTGCTCCCGGCTGCTAACTCCTTAGGTTTGGATGGCGGTTGCAGGTCTTCGATGGGGTCCTCGGAGTGGTTCTGGAGATCTTCGTGATCTGGCAACGAACTCAGGATTTTGGGCCAGAAAACACGGTTTTGTTGCCTCGATTCCCTCCTGACTAGCAGGGGTCGTTATGGGATCTTGCGCGCGGCACTCGTCAAACGAACGGTTTGGAAACTGGAAACTAAAACTGGTTTATTACATTCTATGTGACTTTAACTCATAATGCAACTTTTGGTGTACCCCACTATCTTTGCTGGATTCTTAACAGACCTAACTTCTCCATGATTTTTAGTATAAGACCTCCAGAGCTGCAGCAGGTAAGGTCCTCAAAACCCTCATGATACACAGGTAAGTTAGCCTTTACTTCCAGTGTTTTTTGCAACCATCATTAACATTGTCCATTGGACTTCTGAATACAGGGTGTTCCAATTAAAACTTCCCACCGGGAAAATATCGGAATGAAAAAAAACCTGAGATATGTAGATTTTCTTTTCAATGGGACTAAAGGGTAGTCTAAGCTTTAAAATGAGGTGTCACTCAACATAGGGTGCCATTTAAAGTTTAAGGGTATTTTACGCCCCTGCCTAAGAGGTTACTTCCAAGACACTATAACTTACATGTTCACCTTGAAAAGTAAATCGGCGTATCTCAAGTTCCTTTTTCTTTTTTTTTAAATCCGATATTTTCCAGGTGAGAAGTTTTAAGTTTTAATTGGAACACTACAGGGTGATTCAGTCATAATGTCATTAATTTTAACCACGTATTCGGAAGGCTTAATAAAGACAGAAAATAGGAAAAAAATTTTTACTCGACTTTTAAAAATGAAGGAAATCGACCCATAACTCCCGCTACGAGGGCGGCCCTGGCCGATGCCCGGATGCTCGGAAAATTTTGTAACGTAATGACACGAACAGTTGTCGGCTAAAGGAACAGCGTTACCAAGTTCACATCATGTGTGGTTCACATGTTAAACGTATTCAAGTAAATAAAGGAGCTTGCTGCATTTTATTATAAATAATTTAACCATTAACAATTTAAAGCGTTTATTCAAATCTACCACCCTCCATATCTCCCGCATTTTTCCCGCAAAGGAGTTAACATAACACATTTTCAAAAAGTTCAAGCTTTAGAAGCAGCTGATTTCCCCAATCGTCTTGAATTTTGTAACTGGTTCCTAAGTGCAGCAGAACTTTATTAACAAAGTGCTCTGGACGGATGAATGCTATTTTATTTGTGCTGGCATTTTATAGCAACAATAAGTGCCTACCTAGGTTACACCAAAGTTTAGATTTACACTAAAGTTTACATTTATTATGTAAACTTTGGTTATACGCAACTGCATATTGAATAATAAATTGAAATACTAAAACTGTGTATTATTTAACATAATAAATTATAAAACGCGAAAACGTTAATAATATTAAAAATGATAAATTGTAATAACCGTATATTGGAAAACAATCATCCCTATTCATTACATTGTTTGCAGCCGTGTGACTCTGTTTGCCACGGCACTCTATCTGGCTCCTGGACTATTTGACGTGCAAATTAAAAAGTGGGTCATTGACCTACACGGTCCGTAAAAAAGGATCGTGGTTGACCTAGATACAGGTTAACCTAGTCGGAATCACGTACCGAGTTGATTACTTGTCTCCGTCCGATTTCTTTACAGTCAGTATTTAAATACTACATACATTTCACCCTCTCTTTATAATTTATCTAGTGAGTAGTGAGTGTCGGTTTTTTATGTCATTATTTTTGTAATGAAATTGAGATGGTTGTGAAATGAAATTTAAATTACGTGAACTCTTGGAGTTTTGTAACTTCAATATTAAATTTTATTTAAAGTGAAACAGAGCTAATTTCGTTGCAGCCATAATAGTCACATTTGGTCAGATGAAAACCCGCACACTACTCGTCGGTTTAGCTTTCATAGGAGATTCGATGTCGATGTATTATGGGCAGGAGTATATGGTGATCGTTTAATGGGCCGCATTTTCTACCTGAACATCGGAATTGGCCGCGTTACTTTCAATTTTTAGTAGAATTGTTTGAAAACCTTCCCCTTCAGATGCTACGGGATATGTGGTATATGCACGACGGAGATCCGGCCCATTTTGCTCGCGATGTCCGTGTATTTTTAGACGATCAATGTCCCAATCGGTGGATAGGGAGATGAGGGCCCATAATCCTATGGACTTTTGTATATGGGGTTATATGAAATCTGTCGTGTATCACACCGAGGTAGAGAAAGTAGAGCAGTTGCGGAATCGTATCGAAGATGCCGCTGAAGAAATACATAACAACCCTGGTTTATTCCATCGCATCCGCCGCTCATCTATCTAACGTGTACACTTGTGCATAGACGGTAACGGTAATGTATTTGAACATTTGCTTACAGCAAAAAATTAACATTATGATGTTAATAAAAACTGATTTTTGGCAAGGCATGCTCAGACCTCCTCGAGGTTGTTGCTGGGCAACAATAACAATTTAATGTGTTGATTGCATAATTATAAAAAATAATTTATAGCATTTTAAATTATTATTTGCTGACGTGAGCAAACCGTTTATTTATTGTCTTTATATGAACGAAAATATATAAATATGGCAACGTTGCATCTAGGGTTTGTTGTTCATATCGTAGCCGAGCTCAAATTCTAAATAACCGACGACGTCAGCCGGTCAGTAACAGCCTGAAAAGGGGGTTAAATAATGATTTGAAAATAATTTTTTTCTGCTTAAATATGCATTTAAGTTTTTTTTTAATCACGCCATCGTATTATACTCATTATTCTCTATCTGCTCATAAAATTAGTGACATTATGACTGAATCACCCTGTATATAAGCATGAGGTCATTTCGAGGTGTCAAATGCGCCTATGTTGCACCCTGAAAGTGTTTGGTTAGAGTCGTATCCACTAGAACCGCCCACAGCAAAGACGAAAACACTAGAAAAAAAAACAATTAGGAATCGAATAGATTGATCGAATTTCCAGTAAACATAATTTTGAGCAAATATAGTAAACTTTTATCTTTATTTAGTTAAATCATTAGCCAAAGTTTCGTCACCTAAACGAAAATGTATAAATTTTTCAAAAATCTTAACGCCCGGTATCTTGTAATACAACTATCGCGATTTCTGATTCAAGAAAGATTGTACTTAAATTTCAACAGAAAAGAAATATCTTAAAAATCTAATAAGACGTTTCTCATCGGAAACATATTATTACTATCGATAAACATTAAAATTTTAGATATATTCCCTCGTTGTTTTTATTAAAGTNTGTACTTAAATTTCAACAGAAAAGAAATATCTTAAAAATCTAATAAGACGTTTCTCATCGGAAACATATTATTACTATCGATAAACATTAAAATTTTAGATATATTCCCTCGTTGTTTTTATTAAAGTTTTAAGTGCTAGAAAATATTAAATTTTTATTGCATATTTCAAGGAAATATCCCGTAGAACGTTAGGTTTTATATTCCATAATAAAACTTTTATTTCGTCAACGTAAAACTATGTTGTAATTAGATGAAATATATTACCTATTTTACGCTTATGTAGAAGGTACACATAATCACGTGAAAAATGCGATCATAAAGGATGATCAAATTATAGACTTTATGTGCATCTGATGAGAATCGTGTTTTACCACAAAAACTCCCTGTAAAAGACCAAATGATTCATTGGTTTTGTAGTAAAATTTTACAAACAGGTTTTTATCTTTTTTTTTCAGTTCAAATAGGTGTACTTACAGCTATTTTTCTAGCGCCACAACCTGTCCAATATTTTATTTTTTGAACCAATAAACATATTAAAATAATACGCACATAATACATGTATGAAATGGCATTTCACACGAAAAAATTAAGTCCTGTCTATCTATTAAGTCTAAATTACTGGGAAAACCATTGTTTTTATTGTCACTAAACTGAGACTTACTTTTTCACGTTGAATATTATTTTATTCATGTGTTGCATATAGGGAATTTCGTTTCAAAAATTCAATATTTTTCTTTCATTTGTTCAGAAGATATTCCGAGATATTTTTATAAGCTTCAACACCCTATATTTCAAAAGGCAATGTTTGCGTACGAAAATCTTCACATTGCAATGTTACATTCTGATACACTAGATATATTTTTTTAAATGCACATTGAGAATCACATGTAACTTCATCCTATTTATCAACAGATAACAATTAATCATTCATTTGTTTAGACGAGGAAAAAAATCGAGGTGTTTTTCAATTCCATTGTTGTGTTTAGAAGCCTGTAATTATGTACAAGGTGATAGCACTTTTTATTGGATATCTACAGTTAGTTTCAGGTAAATTTATTTTCCTTTTTAATGTCAATATTGTATGAAAATAAGTCGCAAATAAAAATAGTATGAAATCTTCTATTTAAAAAATTAAATTAGCAAAACAAGACTTTAACATATAAGTACCTTTTATGCAATTTGTACAATTTTATAAACAGAAATGCTTTTGATCTACCCTTTTGCTGAATAGCTTAGTTGACAAAATACACATTTACCGAATATTCTACCAACTAACGAAATGACTGTACAGTTGTATAGTAGCTCATTTAAAAATGTTTTTAATCTAATGTTTGCCACCTTCGGTAAGACTGTTTAGGTATTTTTATTACTTTGTTTTATCTTATCTACAATTTTAATCTTACATTTACGATCACCTTATTTGCTAGTGCTGATGTCGACGAAAGTATTTTTAATACTGTGCACTCCTAGGATGTTGGTAGAAGTGTAATTAATAATTATATTATGACAAAATTGGTCGCAGTGTGTTATACAGGGTATATTAATGATGTGTTAACAAACTCTTTATTGTCTTGCATATAATTCTCTGATATTAATGTCGGCAACATAATATTTTCAAAATTCACCACACTTTCCATTCGAGTTCAAAAAATGTGGAAAAAAACCGCTTCACACCAAATCAATTTAAAAGAATATCGAAAATGTAAGACGGGGAATCCAGCCACTGCCAATGGAGCGTCCCCAAACTCAGGTTCGCAAGAGAGCCACCTGCACAGAAAAACGACGTATGAACGAACGTCAACTCTGGGTATAGACAGATAAATAACCAGAGACGGAAACCTGGCCAGAATGTGTACTCTACTTTCGGGTGTCGTAGTAGTTCCACGACAATGTCTTCTAAAGTGTTACTGGATCTAACAATAATGTTAAATGTTGGTAACTTTGATGAGACTGAAGTCCATAACGTCCTGAAACGACTGAAATCTAAACTACCTCCAGGTCGTGATAATATCCCTGCATTTGTTCCATGCAATAGAGTGTGAGTTCTTGTGTGTCTCTTAACTGTGCTTCTAAACAAGTGTTTGAAAATGTCCACCATGCGTGAAATATGGAAATTGTCTAAAGTTTGTTCAATTTATAAAAATGACGATAAATCAAATATTTCCAATGTAGTGTGTTAGATGTTACGTTAGATCAAATTTAGAGTATGCATTTTAGTTTGGAGACCTCGTCATTAAATGCAATGGGATACTATAACATATACATAGGCGTTTTATAAAACTTTTTAAAAGTGAACTAAATCCTGAAATTTTTCCGGGAAACTTTAATACTTTAAATAGTTGTGTTGTTACTACATAAAATAGTTGATCATTTTACAAAAGTTTAGTATTAATGTTCGTAGAACAACACCTTCTATTTGGCTATACTTAAAAGTGATATGTTAATCAATTCTCCATTTTCTCAAAGTTGCACTAGCTGTAATATCTCAGTAAGTAGCCAGCTAAATATTTTTAATAAGTCATTAATAAAAATATTTAATAATAGCGGCTCCAATACTGAATGTTGAGGTACACTAGACAAAATCACAAGTTTCGATAAAAATTCCTTGTACATTGCAAACGACCAGATATGTAATAAATAAGAAGTTTTAATATACTAATAATGTCGAAAGACCTTTCGCTGATAAAATACACAAACTTATTTATTTTTATTTATACCTACCTGTTTATTTATTTGTTTACGACGAACACGCCTATGACTAGCCGACGAAAACCCCGAACTCTAATTATAAGGAAGTTTATCGAAGGCCTCTGAGAAATAAATATAGACTACATCCACAAGACCATGATGGACCTCCTATATCTACTGTGTCTACACAGCAAATTGGTAGATGTTCAACGGCCTTTTATAAAACCATGATGATTTAAACATTATATTTTAACGCAATTATATAAAATATTATATGGACATTCAAAAACTTCCAATAAAATTGCACATGATAATATTGAGGCGATATTTACTAATTTAACTGTTAAAAACTGGACAAATACTTGATTCTTTTCAAATGTTTGGTAAAGTGTTTGATTAAATTAAACATGATTCTCGATGGTTCTGCTAATATAGAGCTGGTACAAATTCGTTTCTCACTACAGGGATCTCGAAAACAGTAAGAGGTACGAAGTAGCTTAAATGGGGTCAAAGTTGTGTAATCAGGGGACCAACATTATGCCTCTGAAAAATCAAGGCTAACATGATTAGTTTTCGAAATATTTGAAAAAAAAAACGACATTTTGGAAATCGGTTTTTGTTTCATTTCAGCTTTGTTTGAGGTGATATAGAAAAAATAAGAAGACTTTCTCATGGCCACTTTTTGCTCTTTATCGAATGGCATAATCAATTTTTATATATAAAGTTTCTTCTCTCCTTGACCATCATCAACTTCATTTTTTTAAATACGACCCTAGAAATTTTATTACATTTTTTGTAAGCCTTCATGATCCCCAATACTGTACTGCTTCAGCCCGAACCAGATTCCGACCAGATTTTGTCTCGAAAAATTCATCTTCAGTGTATTCGTTCCAAATTTATCTAATTTTTTTATTTAGATTTTTTGTTTATTGAATTATTGTACACTGTAAGTGTCGTTAAACCCTGTGAAATCCATTTAGTTGTTTAAACTATTGCCACTACGCGTTACAATAAAACATTTATTATTATTGACTATTACCATCACTTGGTCTTAACTCAATAAGTTGTTGCGTCAAAATTAAAACATTATTACAATTTTAATTTTATGATAAATTAATTCTTAAAAATGCATATGAAAAACCAAAACGCCAGCTAAATATTATTTTTTTAAAAATTTCAGTAAATGTTCAAACATTTTCGTTTTGGCAAAGATTGAAAATGAAGATCAGCGTAATATTATCGGAATTTATTATATCTGTAACCGCAACTCTGAAAGAGCATGCCAGATGTATTTGTATGAATATCCTGAAAAAAATAGATCGGAATTTGTTTGAATTTTGAGCACTCGAGAAGCCTAGAAATAACTATGGACACGGTATTTTACATGTTTTATTTTAATACGTGGTGGTAATAGTTTAAATAACTAGATGCATTTCACAGGGTCTAACGACACTTACAGTGTACGACAATTGAATAAACAAAGAAATCTAAATAAAACATTTGGATACATTTGGAACGAATACAGTGAAGATGAATTTTTCGAGACAAAACGTCTGAATCTGGTTCGAGCTGAGGCAGTACAGTATTGAGGGTCTTGAAAGCTTGCAAAAAATGTAAAAAAATCTAGTGTCGTATTTAAAAAAATGAAGTTGATGATGGTCCTGGAGAGACGAAACATTACATATAAAAATTGATTATGCCATTCAATAGAGGGCAAAAAGTGGCCATGAGAAAGTGTTTTTCTTTTTTCACTATCACCTCAAATAAAACTGAAATTAAACAAAAACTTATTTCCAAAATTTCGGTTTTTTAAAATATTTCGAAAAGTAATCATGATATCTTTGATTTTTTAGAGTCATAATGTTGGTCCTCTGATTACGCAACTTTGTCCCCATTTAAGCTACTTCGTACCTCTTACCGTTTGCGAGATCCCTGTAGTAAAAAGCGAAATTGTTCCAGCTTGTATAAGCAGAATTGCAAATTATAAGGACCCGTTGCCAATTTTGCTTGTATTTTACATTTATTTCAAGGCATATTTGTAGGAAACAAAAAGATCTTTTTGTAGTAACTGTTCTTTACACGATTAGTTTTTGTTAAGGGTGACAATAGAATAGTGAGAGCACACTTTTTGCATTAATTGTATTTACCATTAGCTAAATATTTGTGGTACAATTCTAAGCTAGTGGGCGTATGCAACAAAATTTAGTCATAGATTATTAAGACAAATTTAGGGGACCCGTATTTTTTATTTTTGCCAAGTGGTCCCCTCTTTCGGAGTTACAGCCCCCTGAAGTCCGCCTCTAAGAATAATCTTTTTTTTACATCTCAGAACCCTGTTGTACGAGAATCACTAAATTTGGTACACAGGGATTTTATGACATGTGGAATCTGATGGTGCTACGTTGTTTGGCGGAGAACCCCCTTAAGACAATTGGCCCCCCCTTGACTTTGAAGCCAAAAAATTTGGTTGCATATTTAAATTTCTTAAAAATTGTCAGTCCACTAGAAAGCCATTAAATTTAGAAACTTTTTGTCTCTTTATACTTTTTTCGTAAAACGCAATGTTTTCGTGAAAAATGTCAAAATGTGATCGAATGCATATCGTGATTCGCCATTTTCCACAAAAACATTGCGTTTTACAAAAAAAATATCAAGAAACAAAAAAGTTTCTAAATT